CCCTCCCCCAGCCGGGCCAAAGGGCTGGGGGGGGGGCTGTCTCCATCCCGCTGGGGTGAGCCACCCATGTGCTGAGCAGGGCCGGTCTCTGCACAGGCTGAACGGGACCCAAGTGCTGCAGTACAGCCGGGACGTGCGGAAGCTCCACCTGATCATCAACATCACCAACGTGCCCACCAACCCCACCAACGGCGAGGACGCTCACGAGGCGCTGCTCAACGTCACGGTGCCCGCCAGCCTGCTGCCCTCCTCCGTGCGCCCGGTACACGGCCCCCTCCCCGCTGGAGAAGGTCCAGGACCACAGTGGGCTTTGCTGGGATGTTCCTCACCCTCTTCCCTTCACCAGAGCGGAGCCTGTACCTTTGCAGAGACGGTGCTGTGCGAGCTGGGCAACCCTTTTAAGAGGAACCAGAGGGTGAGTGCTCCCCCCCAGCAACCCCCAGCTCTTCTTGGGGCTTACAGGTCGGGGAGGGCCTGGCTGAGCTACTCTATGGTCCTTCTGTGTTGCAGGCAGAGCTGATCATCACCTTTGAGGCCATTGGGATCATGCTGGATACACGGGAGATCTTGGTGTGGCTGGATCTGTCTACGTGAGTGTCCCTGGGTGGGTGGGAATGGGCTGGGAAGAGGGTCCCTGGAGCAATGCTGGCTCATCTTTTGCTTGGTGGAAGCACAGTGGTGATGGATCGGGATCATATCCAGTAGTGTTGCTGGTTGGGAAGGATGGGAGGGCAGGCTGAGCTCCTGGGATGAGCAGGATGGGCACACCACTGCTCCTGCTAGGAGGGTGGGGGCTGCCCCATGCTGCCCCACGCTGCACAGGGGCTGTTTGTTGGTGGGAGATGCTGACCTGGGTGGCTGTGCAGGCAAAGCACCCCGGAGAACCTGCAGCCTGTGCTGGCCAGACTGCTGGTGGACTACAGCATCCAGTCCTCGCTGACCATGTGAGTGAAGCGGGCCCCCGCTCCCCACATCCCCTCCATCACTCCACCGACATGTGGGAGCGGGCACGGCTCCTGGTGCCCCACAGACAGGTGCCCAGAGATGCTCCATCCCTAGAGCCCCGTCACACGTGCAGTCACACTTCAGCGGATCGGTGCTGGGCGAGTCGGCCATGCGGGGGGAGCAGGATGTGGGCAGCCCCCTTGCCTTTGACTTCCAGGTGAGCTGGTGGGTGGCCAGCACTGGGGTGTGTGTCGGGGGAGTTGGCAGAGCCAGGCTCCATCCTCAGCTCCACTCCGCAGGTGAGCACCAAGGGCGAGTCGCTGGGTGCCCTGGGCACCATCCTGCTCGGCTTCGAGTGGCCCTACGAGATCCCCAACGGGAAATGGCTCCTCTACCCCACTGAGATCCTCATCAACAGCAACGAGACCTGCCAGCCCCCCGGGGGGGTCATCAACCCGCTCAACCTCACCGTGAGTCTCCCCTGCAGTGCAGGGTTGTGTCCCTGCCCCACTGCGTGGGTAAAGCTGCTGGGCACTGATGGGGCTTATCCCACCCCACAGCTTCTGCAGGACCAGGTTCCATCCCGGCAGAGGCGGGAGCTGGAGGAAAGCCCCCCATCACCCTGGCCACTGCCAAGAAAGCCAAGTCAGAGGTGCTGCTGGTGAGTAGGGGTCCAGGACCATGTGCCCCATACTGGGATCACTGTGCACACTGATCCTTGGTACCAGTGGGGTGCATTAGGGACCCTGCTCTCCCCCTCGACTTCCCCTCTTTACCTCCCAGAGCTGCTCCAAGGGCACAGCTCGCTGCGTGTGGTTCGAGTGCCCCCTGCTCCACACCCAGCACCCCACCACCTTCAGCATCCGTGCCCGGGTGTGGAACAGCACGTTCATCGAGGTCAGTACAGGCCCCTCCTGGGGTCAGGGCTGGGCTGGTCCCTTTGGGAAGGTGCTTAAACAGGGCACCAAGTTTGCCAGGTCTCAGCTCAGACACTAACACCCATCCTTTGCCCCACCACCATCTGTGTTGCCCATCCATTATCCATGTCACCGCCCATCATCTGGGTTCCCCCTATCATTCATGTCCCTCCCTATGATCCATGTCTTCTCCCATCATTTGGGTGGTGGTGTTCCCTGCATCGTCTGGGTTCCCCCCATTATCCCTGTGTTATCATCCCGCCCATCATCTGGACCCCCAATCATCCATGTGTCATCATCTCCCAAATCATGCATGTCTCCCCTATCATATGTCCCCCCATCATCTGTGTCCAACCCCCATCCCTGTCCCGCAGGAGTACAGGGACTTTGACCGGGTGAAGGTGGACGGCACAGCGACCCTCTTCCTCCGGACCCACGTCCCCACCATCAACATGAGGAACCATACGGTGCGGGTGAGTGATGCCAGAACCTCTTACTGGGACACACTGGGACTGGGGCCACTGGGAGCTCCTCCCCCCCAACAAGGCTTTTCTTGGCCCTTCCAGTTCTCGGTGGACGTGGACTCGGAGCTGATGGAGGAGCAGCCA